ATAATGAGATTGGAAAAGAAAAGATCTTTTCCATCTTTTTAACATTAAGAGAAGAAAAAAAAAAACACCAGCTAGTCAGAAAGCCTAGCGGTTCAACAAATATTACTCATGTCGCTGGTAAAAAGAAAAGGAGACTTGAATAGAAAAATGGATAAGATGAACACAAGAGGCATTGTTTGCATATCGGAAAAATTAATCTACACAGGAAAGTGTAAGAGCCTGCAATTCAGAAAGCAAAGAATTAGGACAGCCCAGCTGAGAATAATTTTCTAGCCAGTTAATTTAATTGCATAAATCATTCCTTTGTTAGCAATAAAGAGATATAATTAAAATGAGATTGCCTCTAGTTTCTATTCTCTGGAAGCTAAAGGAATTGATTTTGGGCAAAGCATTCTTCCAAATACCAGACTGGCAAATTACATTTACCGTTTTTAGAAAAAGCTAAATTATTTTGTGATAATATCATGGTGAGTTTAATTAATTATAGATCTGCCATATGATCTTAAAGAAATAATTTATTTAGTGTCCTTAGAACAGAAGTTTGCAATCACATGAAGCATCCTTTTTGGTAGAGGGTTGTGGGGATTTTCACAAACAGGTCAGAAGTTTAACGGGCAGGTGTCAGGAGGAATTGGAGCAGCTTAACCATTGTTTGGGGGTTTTGGTTAGCTGTCCTTATTTAAAATAATAATAAAAAGTGCTACTATTTGGTGTTGCATAATTTAACTGAACTCATTTAGATTGGCTTTATCCTAAAATTGCTACTAGTAATTATTTGCCGTCTCTGAATCCTTGGGATTTAAAGAGCCTATAATTGTCTATTAAATAGGGGGAAATCAGATCAAAGAGGAATGCAAACGTTCTCCTGCTACGAAGCACAGGTCCGTTGATCCATCAGTTGAGTGTCAGGGAGAATTGCAGGCTATGAAAGAGGAGAGGCTCATTTTTATGGTAATGAATTTGAATTTTTAAAAAATGTACTTGACTGCACTGGCTTGCTCCAGATTTTTGAAGTTTATTACTGGTATTACACTGTAACATGGGTTTGTTCAAGGAGAGTTTGTGCCAGCTTTCAAAGGGCCTGGGCTAGGAGAAAACCCTGTCCCCCAATGTGTATGGCTGCAGCACTTGTACAATGTTTTGAACCTCAGAGGGACCCACCCCCACCCTCATTTCATGAAGGAAACTGAAATATTCTGAGCCATGGTTGTAGCAGATAAAATGTGCAAGTGTGCTGTTGCTTAACAGTTATGTTGAACAAGAAGTGTATACCACCCTTTATGTGTGTTCTTGTGTTTCATCACGGGGCCCCAAAAGAATTAGCCTAGGACTTGTGGGGAACTGGGGTGATTTCCATTTCTGAATTCGGATCTCTTACCAAATGAACTGGGCGCTGTGCATAGATGCTTTCCTCCTCCAAACACATTGCCTACGGAGGACAGATGGCTCTGAGCGTCGTAGAAGAAATCAGTGGCTCTAGGCTCTGCTGGGCAATAGCTACAGGACCATCCTGGTGGGTGCTGTAGTGGCAGGATTCAGGCCTTCAACCACAGTGTCCTGCAGAATAAGTACCTGCTGCTTCTCCACAGGGACGGCAGCCCAGCCACTGGTCACTGAGCTGAAACTGGAGCCAGAACAGATCTTTCTGCCTCTTAGATGACTACTCCCAAGCATTTGTCAAGGGACAAAAGTCTAAAGCAGTCTTAGATCTCCCCAATCGCCTTAAATATCTGCCCATATATCAGGGTTTCACTATTATTTTCCTTAGGACATCACCATCATCCATGAACCTTTTGGGGGGAGGTGGGATAGATTAATTCCCCCTATAGAAATAGTAGAATTTAACAAGGTCTCTCCTTTAGTTAAGTGGAAAGACACACATGTTACCAAGAATATATATACATATATATACATATATATGCACATTTATATGAGTTCATTATATATGAGCACCATGCACTTATAAAATAGTTTTTTTAAAGAGAAAAATATGGGATTGTGCAATCTATATCTTCTGTGGACAGGGTGCCATGACAATATCAAAGGTGTATGAGACATTCTTTACAGAGAAAACAATGGGTCAGATGGTGGTGGCCCACACCTTTGATCCCAGCACTTGGGAGGCAGAGGCAGGCAGATCTGTGAGTTTGAGGCCAACCTGGTCTACAGAGCGAGTTCCTGGACTGCCAGGGACACACAGAGAAACCCTATTTGGAAAAAAAAACAAACAAAAAATACAAAACAGTCGAAAGTAAGGGAAAGATTCAGAACGAACGATACAGATCCAACCTTCACAAGTCACAAGGAGGAAGCAGAGAGATTTAGGCTAGAACAAAGTCTGGGAATGTTTTATCCAAGACAGTGAAGAACCCTGAGATTAGTGACCCCAATGCACACTTGCCTGTACAGACCAGCACTCTCATCGTGTTCAGACACAGCAAGCAAACCATCTACAAGAAGAGTGACTGCAATAAAAATGAGGAAGAAGGTCCTTGGGTCAGTCCTGCTCCCTGCAGTGGAATATCTGGGGGGGGGGCAGGTTTGTGGCCCAAACACTGGACTGACAGACATAAGTAATAGGTTTGCAGATAAATGGTACTACATTTACAGTAAAATTCATCTTTAAAGAGGAATTTAATTAGTTCTCAAAGATGGTTTCTTAAGTAACTGGAAGGTTGCGTTATTCTATACGACACAACTTTTAAATTCAGATTATTATACCTTGTTGTAAGAAAAAGAGTAACAGAGCCAAAGTCACCAAGTACAAAATGGATGAGACCGTGAGCGTCTCAGACTCAGGAAAGAAAGCTCATTCACAGGTTGCTCCCCAATGTCTGTGACTTCTTTCTAGAAGCACGACTTGATAAACTGTTGACACCGCCAACCCAACATATCCAAGAAAGCGCTCACCAGTTTGACAGGAATAACGCCCACCACCTAGTGTACAAGGCAGGAAAGAACAAGTCTTCTCTCTGTCCCCTTTCTTTCTCATCCCCCCCCCCCGGTATTTTAACCAACAATCCTGTCGACACTGCTTTCCAAGTGTTTCCGGAACCAGTCTCTTTCCTGTGACTTAGATCCATCCAGGACACTCTATCTTGTAGCAAAACGGGAACACTCACTTTTCCAACAAAACAAACCGTGACACACCTACCTCAAGCCTCCACTGGGGCTGCAGCCTGAATTCCCAAGTACTTTGAAAGTCCTTGGTGATATTTATGCTCCCCAAACATTCCCACAGCTGTTGTCCCTCAATCCATAGACCTCAGACCAAATGCAATTTCAGAAACAAGCTCCTTGACAAGATGGGCTGAGCAGCCCTGCTTGGACGCCACACTCAGTCTCCCTTCCATTGCGTGCTGTCCAAACACACCTATTAACACCTTAGATTATCTTAGTGCCCTGTTTTCTGTCATATTTCTCCACTAGAAGTGCATTCCCCTCATGTGTATCATATTTCCACCTCTGAACCCAGACTCCAGAGAAGTCTTGGCATAAAGCAGGCACCCCATTGTCTTTGTGAATCATCTGAAGACACCTTTATGCTATGGACATTTTCACAAATATTCTATGTTCTTTCTTATTTGTGGTCTTTGTATATTTTGTTTCAGTGCTACACATACACACATATATACGCATTCACATACACGCATACATACATATGCATACACATCACATACACATACAGTCACACACATGCATACATTATCCTCACATATATATATATACAAGCATATATACACATGCATATTCACCACACACATATTGCATGTATAAACATATATGCACACATACATACACTCCACATACCACACACACCTCACACACATATATATGTTTATATGCTTATATACACACACATACATCATACACACACACATTTTTTAGTGTTTTATTGCTGTGAAGAGACACCATTACCACAGCAACTCTTATAAAGGGAAACATTTAATTGGGGCTGGACTACAGTTTCAGAAGTTTGATCCATTATCATCATGACAGGACACAGAGGTGTGTAGGCAGACATGGTGCTGGAGATGGAGCTGATCCATAGGTAATAGAAGGAGACTGTGTATCACTCTTGGCATAGCTTGAGCATATAAGACCTCAAAGCCCACCCCCACAGTGACACACTCCCTCCAACAAGGCCACACCTCCTAATAGTGCTGCCCTCTACAGGCCAAACATTCAAACACATGACCCTATGGGGTCCATTCTTATCCAAACTACCACACACATATATAATTATATATACACATTCACATACAGGAGAACACACATACACACACATGTATATACACACCATACTATACATACATATACACTTACCAAATGCATATTCATGTATGTTTATATATATATACATACCATTCACACATTAATATATCACAAACTCATATACAAACGTACACATATACTCACATATACATATTCATACCACACACATACACAAAATATGCATATATATACACATACACATATTAGCACACAGCACACACACACACACACAACCACCACCCACTTTTTTAAAGCTTGCTCAACACTCTGTAGCTTAAGTATAATTTCTCCAGAAGCTCTCTCTATGCTAATTTATGCTGATCACCTGTGACATCATCACATGCCGTTTTCTATACCTCCTATAGCCCACACTATTGAAACTGCTGGGTGAGTAAGAAATTTCCACAGGAGCCAAATGTTTGGTTCAGCCTTTTATTCCTGGAGCCAAATCTGGTGCCTGGCACATAATAGGAGCTTGGGAATGATTTGTGGAAGAAAGAAAACTGGAGAGAGGGAGTCGATGTTTCAATGCTGTGTGAGGAATTTATTTTCCAATCCAGTTCCAATAAGCACATCCCCCTGAGAGAATGGCTAAACGCCCTGCTGTCGCCTGAGCATGGAAGCAATCCAGCAGGGCAGAGTTGTGGCATCAAACAGACAAACAGTGAGGCTCTTCCTAGGGTGGGAAGTAATTAGCACACATTTGGCGGAATGAACTGGAAGAAAGAGATGTCCTGAGGGGTGCTCTTGGAACGCACTCAGGGAGGAAAGCTAACACACAATGAACAGTTTCTGATGGGTTCTCAGGAAGATCTTCACATAGTAACAGGGACCCTGGTCTGGTTCACAGAAGCATCATCGGAAACAGGTAATAGGTGTGTGTGTGATGTGTGATGTGTGATGTGTGAGCAGGTGGCTAAGATTATTAGATAGGGCTAGACAGAAGAAGAGAAATCCGCCTGTCTCTATCAGAGAGACATTGCTCTCTTGGCCTCTCCAAGCTTACTGACTCCTTAATGAAAGTGAGTTTCCAAATTCTATTTTTATGGTCACTCTAGCAGATATATCTGGAGTTCTCTCTTAGTCATGTCCTTGACAGAGGGGAAAGGGAGCCAGGATAATTTTTTAAAGTCAGTTTTTCTACTTCCTATTTTTAAAAGAAGCTCTGACACATTTGGACTGGGTAGCTGCTGACAGCCCAAGTGTGTTAATTAGCAAATTAAGTCATCTTATTCCTCTCTGGGTATACTACATACAACTCTATGGAACCACTGAGAAGATAATGACATTCATCTAGTGACTTTCCAACCCTAAGCATGCTGGGGCTTGTGAGGAATGAGACTCCAGCTGGGGCTCAGGAGAGTTCAGATTTCTGTCTTTTTTTCTGACACTTTCTGTCTGCTGCAGGAAAATCCCTTCACCTTCTTTGCCTAGTCATCCTCCTCCTCTGTTTCTAAAGACAGGCTTCATACGCTGGCCATGTGGCACACACCTGCAATCCCTGTACCTGGGAAGTGGAAGTAGGAAGATCAAGAGTTCAAAACCAACCAACCTTGGCTATATAAGTTTGAGGCCCGCTACATTCGGTTTTGTTTCAAACAACAACAACAACAAAATAAAAAATACAATGAAAGGAAGGAAGGAAGGAAGGAAGGAAGGAAGGAAAGGACTCAATAATCCCTGGTAAGACTTAAAATGATGCTTACCAGATGAAACACAGACATCCAGTGGAATTTGATTTTGGGATGACACACATATCTTTCATACTATTTCAGTTTTCTCTGCTTATAATTATATAAAGGCACAGACAGTTGGGGAAGGAGGGAAGTGCAGGTCCATACAGCTCTTTCTGAGTGTCAATTGCTTTCCTACCCGATGTAAACATGAAGGGGCAGAAGCTTTTTAAGGCAGAACACCGAGAAACTGGTGATACAGAGGGTAACCCCACCCCTAAACTGGAGACTGGATTCCCACCCTCCATCTTTTTCCTTCACATCCACAAGGCAGATGGCTGTGACTTGGTGCTTCTTTATCTTTTTGACATAGTCTTGTCCAAATGAAGCGGTGAACTCAATTCAGAATTGGTTACCTCTTTTAGTTAGGATCCACAAACTACGTTCTATACCATAATAGTCTTAGGACAAAGTGGATCTTTGATAAGCTAGAAACAGCCAACTTATTAATGCAATCTAGAAATGTACATATCTAGGCATTCAGTTTAATTAAGCACCTCACTGGAAAACACAGGCAAGAATCTCTGCAACTGTGACAGCTACATTGCTATTTTATAACCTCAAATTTAACCACCAGAAGCTGTCCAGTCCCGTTCTGAAAGTCACCCATAGCACAACACTTGCCTGGCTACTCTAGGCATTGAAACAGCAAGGGGAATACTGGAGTAGCAGAGAAACCAGACTGCCAGTCTTTTATTATGGTGCCTTAATTTTCTGTGAGTTTGTTTTATCTCAGTTGAAAGTAGTCTCCCCTCTGGTGCCAGTGTCCACATGATCCTAACAGTACTTTAGAACCATCTGAAAGAGAGTCCCTTCAGAACCATCCAGCTCTGAGTTAGAGAGAGAGAGAAAGAGAGAGGGAGAGAGAGAGTTTGCAAATGAGCACAGAGGGGATGCACTTGAGTGTGTGGTACACGTGGAAGACAGGATTCAACCTTAGACATTACTCCTCAGGAGACATCTGAGACAGGGTCTGTCAATGGGATTCAACGATAGTGGATTATACTATGCTGGATGGCCAGTGAGGCCCAGGCATCTAGCTGTCTCTGCCTCCCCAAGGCTTGGATGACATGTACAAGCCACCACACATGACTTTTTATATGGGCCTGGGCATTGAACTCAGGTCCTCAGGCTTGCACAGCAAGGACTTTATGGATTGAACAGTTTCCCTAGCTTTGGGTTCAAATTTTTGTGCTCACTCCCAGGCAGCAACCTAAAGTTCCATCTGGGATGCCACTCCTTGCATCCTTTTGGAATTCTTCCTAAAATTGCATGGGGTTTCTCTGCTCAACCTATTCTGCAGTCTCATGTAGCCTCCTTCTGGGTTGTTTCTTTATTATTATTTGTGTCCTCTAATTTTACTAAAAAGCATACTGCCTCCTACATTCTTGTTCCTCCTAGATTGTCCTTATCTTCCCTAGCTTAGCCATGTTCTCTCTATGCATCTTTCATCACCCAGATGAAATATCACTTGTTCTAGCCTCCTCTGTTCCAGCCCAGGCTGGACCAAAGTCTCTTCCTCTGTGGTCCCAACTTACTTTTGCATGTCTGCACTACCATGTGTATGCAAAGCAGATATGCAGTCTAAAATATCTATTTTGACCTGATGATAAAAGAAAGCTTGCTTTATGTAGGTGAAGTAAAAAAAAGGCTAAAAATCACCAATGATTCTACCAACACAATATAAATATTTTGGTGCTTCCCAAACTATTTTCTATGTACACTATGGATGATTGATCATAAACATCACTCTAATTTTCTTACTATTTACAATATTATTCTGGTGGTCTGTCGTTAAGAAGTGCAACTAAGAAGTAAATTGGTCTCATGAATCAATTTGGAAAGCAGAATAGTGTAAGTGATAGGGTGGCAGTTCTGAGCCTTTTAGCCACATGTCTTTCTCTCTCTTCTGATATAACATAAAAATGAACAACCCCAGGCTTGCCTGATGCAGAATAAAAGACCAAGTGGAGAACAGGTAAGTTATGACAGCCAAAACCTTGCTTAACCAGGTCTCTTGCAAGCCTGTCTGGATGCAATCAAATGAGAAACCTTGTCCCGTTAAGCCCAACCTAGCTTTGCCTGTAGAATTATGAGATTAATAAACAGTTGCTTTAAGCTAGTAGTTTTGAGCAATTCTTTGTTATACGAACTTACGTACTGATACATATGTATTTTCACATAGTAGAGATTCTGTCAATCACAAGTTTGTTTCCTGTTTCTTCCTTAATGGTTTGATCATAGCTAAAGTACTTAAAGAATTATTGATGAACATTCTTTATAACTTTATGATAAGTCAAACTATTGCTATAACATAAGTCTACCTTCTTTTCAACATCTGCGTTATTTATAAAGATTTTCTTCTTTGTAAGTTTTTTTTAACAGAGAACTACAGTTTAATGAGCTTCTTAAAACTTTAAGTGTAATTACTGAGCCAAAGTCCACATCAACATTTTGAAGCTCTTTGATAAATGTTGACATTTTCTTTTTGCAGAAAGACTACATGTCGTCTAAGATGGCTCATCCCCCCCACTGTCTTTCCATGGTTAATTAATTATTAACTATGAATAAATCATAAAGTTGGTGATCAAGAAATTAGTCCCATTCTGTTTTTTATTCATGTAAGTGAAGTTGGGATTTTTTTGGCATTTACTCTTGAGTCAATGGTCTCTTTACGTATAATATTAATTTTTTCTTTCTTTTTGTTTAAAAGTGCATTAGTGTATTCTATATATTAGCAATATGTGCTACCAATTACTTCTGTTTCCTTAATGACAATTTTAAAAGTCTCATTAAAGCACCTCCTGAAAATTGTCACAATAATTTTTCAAGGAAGTGCCATATTGTTGGAGGGTTGGAGGACTTAAATATCTTGCTCATGGTTACACATAGAAAACTCAGGCCCTAGAGTCTGGCTTTTGTGTTTGGATTACCATGTTGGAAGCTTTCAATTATTTTAATTATATGATTTTATTTTGGTTTAACATATCTGCACTCAAAGAGCTTACCTTTATAGAAGTTCATCTATATGTCCCATGAAACTGCAAATGTCTTTTGATTTTCACCTAATATGTATAATAATTATATCATCTCCCCCTTGTCTCTTCTCTTGCTCTCTTTCAAATTCAGAATTTTTTTTCTTTAATTGTTGTTGCATGCATGTGTGTGTGTGTGTGTGAGAGAGAGAGAGAGAGAGAGAGAGAGAGAGAGAGAGAGAGAGAGAGAGAGAGAGAGAGAGAGAGAGAGAGAACAGGGACAACACAAAAAGACATGCTAATGTGGACAGAGAAAAAAGCTTATGAGGCCTCAACTATAGACAAAGAACTATAGACAACCAAGTAATGCTTACAGTGGGAAATAGTCTCCCCAGGGAGGAGCATGCCAGGGAGGAATATGCCAATTGTTTATCTAATATCAAAGGGTCAGCACTGAAAACACACATAAACTGAATTCTTTACTGTCATGTTCACACCAATATCTGACTGTAACTTGTAAGAGGATTCATCCTTCCCTAATTAGATATTATAAATAACCAATGTAAAAACATTAAATCATTTTACTTTGTCAAATTATTTTTCTCTGAATCAGCTGAGATTCTGAAGAACTGGTGCCAAGAACATTGTGCATAACAGTGATTTAGAACAAGCATTACTTCTCAAATGACTAAGCTTCCCGATCACCTGAGACAGAAGAGTAGAACCCTGTACAATCATACCCTGTGTAACTAGAATTTGGCCAGAAGTACACTGCCAATTCCTTTCCCACTCCCACTAAAAACTGTTGGTGGCTAATCCACCTCTTCCTTGGAGATATATACCCAAAGGTGTGTGAAGGGGACATGAAATGATCAGACAGAATGAACTAGGGATATATTTCCAGTGCCAACAATGAAAGAGGTGTAGTGTTCTCTGCTCTGGGATGGGTGTGTGGCTCAGTGGTAGAGTACTTGCCCACTGAGCTCAAGGCACCAGGTTTGGTTTCCAGTCCTGACGAAAAGCAAATCTTCTCTAGCTTGATTCACTTTTAAACTTTTAAAATTTTCTGAATACCAAATTTCACCTGTCCTCCTTTGGAAGAGACTCGGAATCCTTCGTCAAACCAGAAATGGTTCAAAGTGTATTTATAAATGGGAGTC